GGTTTAGGGTTTAGGGTTTAGGGTTTAGGGTTTAGCAGCGCCGAGCAGCCGAAGGCACAGCCGGTCCTGGGGGGCTGCATGCGCGCAAACCCTAAACCCTGAACCCTAAACCCTAAACCCTTTTACTGCGCTGCGCATGCAAATTAAATTAAAATATCAATATTAATGCAAAACAAATAAACTAAACCACTCAGGGGGGCCCCAGCCATGGGGGCCCCCAGTTTGGGGGGCCCCCCGGACTCCGGGGGCCCCCTAGTGCTGCTCCGGCGGTTAGCATCAGCTGCTGCTGCTGCTGCTGCAGTCGGAGCAGCAATTATAAGCTTTTCTTTTGCTGCTGCTGCGGCAGCTGCAGTCGTCGCAGCTACTGTTGTTTCTGCTGTTGCTATTGCCGCTGCGGCAATACTCTGCTGCTGCAGCTGCTGCTGCCGCTGCTGCTGCTGCTGCTACGAAACATTTTTCCAGCTAGCTAGCTAGCTAGCTAGCTAGCGAGCTAGCTAGGCAGCTAGCCAACTATCTGCCTCGCTAGCTTCCTGGTTTCCCAGCCATTTAGCTAGCTAGCCAGCTAGCCACACAGCTAGCTAGCTACACAGCTAGCTAGCTAGCTACACCGGCAGCTAGCTAGCTAGCTGGCTGGCTAGCTAGCCACACAGCCAGCTAGCTACACAGCTAGCTAGCTAGCTGCACCGGCAGCTAGCTAGCTAGCTAGCTGGCTACAAAGCCAACTAGCTATGCAGCTAGCTATCTAGCTAGCTGGCCATACAACTAGCTAGCTAGCTAGCTAGCTAGCTAGCTAGCTAGCTAGCCATATATATATCTAGCTGTGCAGCTAGCTAGCTAGCTAGCTAGCTAGCTAGCTAGCTAGCTAGCTATGCTCTTGATAGCTGCTTCTTAGAGAGGTCAGCAGCACAGTGATGCTTTTGCTGCTGCCGCTGTCCTTGCTGCTGCTGCTGTTGCTGCTGCTATTGCTGCGGTTGTTGCTGCTACTGCTGCTGCTGCAGCTGCTGCTTCGCTTGCCGCACGCAGGCAAATAGCTCGAGACGCCGAGGGTTTAGGGTTTAGGGTTTAGGGTTGGAAAGACAAAGTGTTTGGGGAGAGCAGCAGCAGCAGCTTGTTCTGGGCAGCAAGGGTAAAGCTTGAGGACCCACATATGTGTGTGTGGCTTTTGCTTTTGCTGCTGCTTCTGCTGCTGCTTCTGCTGCTCTTGCTGCTGCTGCTGCTGCAGCTGCTGCTGCAGCTGCTGCTGCCGCAGCAAAGCAGCAACGTTGAGGGGGAGATTTGCTGCCTTGGCTATATCTCTGTTCTGCAGCACAACTGTGCGGGCAAGCGCATCGACTTGCTGCACCCTTGCTGCTGCTGCTGCTGCTGCAGCAGCAGCAGCAGCAGGTCTGTGGGGCGGCGGAGGGGACAGTATCTCTAGGTGAACTGGCCGCTGCTGCTGCAGCGCTGCTCTTAGCTGCTGCAGCACTCGCTGCGCGTCTTTGCTGCTTGCTGCTGCACTCAGCCGAAACCTTTTCGGTTTTGCTGCTGGATCGTAGCTGTACTCGTGCTGCTTCTGCTGCTGCTTCCGCTGCTGCTGCTGCTGGTGCACCTGCTGCTGCTGCTGCTTCTGCTGCTGCTGTTGCATGTTCTGCTCCTGCTCCTGCTGCTGCTGCTGCTCATGCACCTGCTGCTGCTTCTGCTGCTGCTGCTGCTGCTCGTGCATCTGCTGCTGGTGCTGCTGCTGGTGCTGCTGCTCGCGCACCTGCTGCTGCTGCTGGTCGTGCACCTGCTGCTGCTGCTGCTGCTCGTGCACATGCTGCTGCTGCTGCTGCACCTGCAGCAGCCTGGCTGAAGACAAATTGATTTGTTTGTTTAGAAGAAAACCCTCAGAAGCAAAAACGGAAAAACCCGAAAAATAAATTGCTGCTGGCAGGGGGGCCCCCCTGAGGGTACGGGGGGCCCTCAAGCCTTCTCTGTACAAGAGCGCATGCAACGAGCAGCAGCAGCACATGCTGCTGCTGCTGCTGCTGCTGCAGTGCCTTATTATTACAGCATCAGCAGCAGCACCTCTGGGGCTCGTGGGGCCCCTCAGTACCCTAGGGGGCCCCCAGCTAGGGGGGCCCCCCAGTACCCTCGGGGGCCCCCAGCTAGGGGAGCCCCCCAGGGAGGGGGGGCCCCCCAGGGTACTGGGGGCCCCTAGCGTTCTAGCTGCTGCTGCAAAGCGCATTTGCTGCAGTAAAACATTCAACAAAGTTGCTGCTGCTGTTGTTGTTGCCGCTGCTGCATTTTCTGCTGCCGTTGCCGCTGCCCTTGCTGCTGGGACCCGCTGCTGCTACTGCTGCTGCTGCTGCTCCTGCAGCTGCTGCAGCAAGTAAAAAGGGAAATAAACTCTTACAAATAATAAACAAAAGGCTTTAAATGTTGCAGATGAAAACATTCAAAGTCTTAATTACCCAGGGGCCCCCCAGGGGGCCTCCAGGGGCCCCCCGGGGCCCCCAGGGTTTACGGTTTAGGGTTTAGGGTTTGGGGGGCCCCCGTCTCGAGCCGGGGAGAAATACATGAAAATCCGCAGATATAAATTCTTTTTAAGTAAATTAAATTTATTTATGTCTTTTTAAAAACAATTTATCTGCTTCTGCTGCTGTTGCTGCTGCTGCTGCTGTTGCTGCTGCTGCAAGAAGGCACACAGGGCATTCGGCGCAGCAACAGCAGCAGAGAGAAAAGCAGCGGAAGCAA